TGGAAACCACAGAAAGACAGAAAACGGATATGAAAGTTTCCTTCCATTGACATTTTGCAGACACATTCACAAGTTCTCACCCTTATGTCTTTGACTGATTATGAAGAAGCAAGGATGGGTAAATCAAAACAGCTCGAAATTAAAGCATCAGACAGGCCAGAGCTACAGACGCGGAGAACAAAACACGGCAGAACTAAAAAGATAAGAACTAAAAGAAGTATAAAGATTGGCTTATTTCACAAAAGACTTTTTCTCTGCTGTTAGCTGGAAATGTTAGCCTATCATCTCATGAGCCAGTGGTAGATTGACTATGAAAGATGTACAAAGTTTTACCCTGTACTCATAAAAGATTTGAAGCAAGATACTTTTCACTAGGATTATTATTGAAACTATTATATCAGAGACATTTATTCTGCAAACTTTTTAAACAAATTGTCATCCTTTACGAAAACCTACTTCCACCCCTCCCCCCTGTTGTTGTGATAATAAACAATGTCTTTTCTCCGTGCATCGAAAACGCATTTTCGAATCGGAATGGCAATTGCAGTAATCTATAAGTCGTAATCAAATCAAGGTGGGGCAAAAACGGGTGGGACGAAAGCGGGTACGATGAAATGCAAGAATGAAAATTATTGTTGGACGAATACGGGTTCTCCCCAGCTATAATCCTCTACTTTGTCCCGTTTCCACCTCACGCGGGTGGGGGCGGGGAGGGGGGGTTGTACTTTGGGATGCATCGTGTTATACGAAGCTTTATTTTAAACAGAAGTGCTTGGGTCGCCCCTGTCGACACTACATGTACATGTAGCAGGCTATTCGAGGGGCAGGACATACCGAATTTAAGGCTGACAGTCTTGAAAACTCCACAAAACAACCCAATTCAAGAACCCTCAGAAGAGAGAGAGAGAGAGAGAGAGAGAGAGAGAGAGAGAGAGGGAGAGAGAGTGAGAGAGAGTGAGAGAGTTCAGTTTTGTTTGTTTCATACTATTTTAGTACATACATGCATTAATCATTGTTTCTTCCAACATCTTGGCAATGAGATCATGATAACATATAGGCTACTGAGTACAAACAGATTGTGCGGTCAAGTTTGGCATTCAGCCCAGACTGGAGGCATAATCACACAAATAGCCTAAATGATGGGACTTTTACAAATCATCAGTCACACAATAAAGAAGAACAAACACAAAAAAGAAGCAGTAAGCATGACTTGTGGCTCCATGACCAACTATTTAAAATTGAGGAGTTGTATTAAAATTCACATTTGCAGCAGGGCAACCCTCTCATCTTTTTGAGTTGTATGACCTCTATACAGAGGGAAGAGACAGACAAAAAGGCACTGATAGACAGGCAGACATAATACAGAAGGACGTTCAGATGCATACATGTTAAAATTGAATCAAATGAAGAATAGAATGAAAGTGCATATACAGCACTTGAAAACATATAAGGCTATATATAATTATCACTAATTGAGCATTTTTGAATCAGTACATAAATAAAGTGTATATAAAGTTAGAAAAGAAATAAAAAAATATTTAGCTTTCCTGATCCTGAAACAGCACGAACATCATGTACTTGAATTATAATGACTAATACATGGAAATCTTGCTAGTGAAGAAACAAATGAATTATAAGCTTTACCCTTTGTTGTAAAGACAAAGTTCCATAACTTTTAATATCACAAATACTTATTGGCACTGAAGAGAAAAAGAAAATGTACAAATAGAGAGAAATGTGAGAATTCAATTCTTTTTTACATGTGTAATAATGAAGATAACCACAAAGAAAGTAACTTACAATTTAAGTGACTTTAAAAGTGCACCATTAGGAGCTCTGACTAAGCTTCAGAAAAGGGAAGAGGAAATTATTCCAGGAGCAATGTCAACAATTTAAACCTCACTTGGATTCAATATCAAAACTTTACATTGTCTCTCATGATCAGCTAAGCCAAACTGGTACATCTATTGTATCGAATGGGTTTAGCTCTCCTTTCAAAGCTGTAGGCTTACGTAAAGACTGGATCTCCTAACGTCCATTTTTGATGGAACCAAGCTAAGCAGGTGGAGAACCTTAATCAATATTCTTCGTTAACCTGTATTCCTCGACAATATGATGACCTCCCATTCCCTTGCGTAACATTGAATTATAATTTGCTGTTTCCTTTCCCAATTCTGAAACTACAAATGCTGACAAGAGATCTTTACATACTTAATTCTCTCTTTAAGCAGTACTTCATTATTCCAGCCTCCATTCAGATCATGTAACACATACAAACAAACAAGTAGTGCGTTGATAGAAAAAAAGACAAAAGGGCTCTCTCTGGGTAGGTGAAAATGAACATGTTGTGAATTTCTTTTAGCAAAGGACAATATTGAACTGCATCAAATGCATCTGTCATTGATATTTATTCTCTCTGACAGAGACTCTGACTGCTTTGTTAGTTTGTCAAGCATATCAACATGCACATATGAAACAGACTGTCAGTCTGATAACAAGAATATACAGTACAACTTTGATCAAACAAACTTCACAATCACAGAATTTCTTTGTGCTGAGCAGATTTCATGATAAGTAGACGGCTAATGAAAAGAACAAAAAAGGAAGGGGGACTCCTTTCTTACTGTTTACAGTTCAGATCAGATGCTAGGCCTTGTGTAACATATTTTTAAAGTTATAATTCCTAACACAATCACAGCTTCCAACCTTTGGAAAAAAAAAAAAAAAGAAGGAAACTTTATACTTTATTTTCAACCTCAGATTGTTCCCTTGACCACATAGAACAAAGTTCACGGGAAGTTGTAGCTGTTAACTTTATGGTTTTCCACACTACTACTCAGGTATAAGGACAAAAACAAATTAAAAGACGTGGAGTTGATAAATCATAGCTGCACATTATAAAGACAATCTCTAAGAAAAAACAAAAAAAGCAGGGCATGACCATTAAATTTTAAATTTAGGATGATTGTTAGCTTTCCAATATCTCATCTCCCTGTCCCATGAAGCAAAGCCATTCTCTTGCAACCCGCTGTTCACAGGAAGTGGGACAGAAGGGATCTTTTCAGTTAATTGAAAGCATGTTTTAAGAAGAGTATTGACGATGGTAGGCTACTCTGAGAGAAAAAAAAAGGAAAGGGTGAGAATCAGCCGAGAGGAATGATGAAACGACTTAAAATTCTATTGTGTTAATTTGGTCTACTGGAATTTTTTTCAGAGCGTTTTAAAAGGGAAGTTGCAATGCATAGAATAAAGAGGGATTTGAAATCGTAAGACGTTGTACGAGAAAGTTACAGGAATTTTGAGCCAAACAGTATTTTTTAATATAAAATTTTACAAGTACTTAGTGCCTTCACCTTAAGTCTTTCAGGAGCATGATCTTAGAATTTTGGGATATCATAAGACGAAAATAAAGAGGCTCTGCCAATCTACTGGGATAAACTTTTGTACCCTAATCGTTTGAAAAGAAAAGCTTACTTCAGGTAATGACGGGTAAAATAATGATCATCTTTGCCTTTCTCACTCACTGTAGACATACACTTTCCATGTTTCCTTATCTCAGGCTAGCCTCTTGACCTTATTCCATGTCTTTCCACTTTTTAGTACATTATTCTCTGTGACTTTTCTCGAGGTTCCACGTGATCCAATTCCTCTTAATCTCTTGCCCTGTTTATTCCAATCCAACACTTTCTTTGTTATGCAGCTGCATGGCTTCCTGACGGTATGTCCAATCTATGACCACCATCTCCTTCCCATTTCATCTTCAACTGGGCTCTGTCTTGTTCTCCTATTTACTTCCTCCTTGGTGACAATGTCTGTTCATCTGATCTCCATTAGCTTTCTCAGATACTTGTTGATGAAAACCTGGATCCTCATTGTATGCAAGTCTGAGATGCATTCCATGTCTCACTTCCATACAATAAAACTTAACATTTGAGTTGAAAATCATATATATGCTTTACTTTGAGTGAGAATCCCTTGTCCCCCAAATCCTGTTTAAAGACGTGATAGCAGCCTGTGCCTTTTCAATGGGGGATTTAATTTCAGAAGTGAAAACAAGGTATTATCAATGGGCTGCTCTTGAGAAGACTTGATCATCTTGATATTTTAATTTTTTCAACTGCTCCAGTAATGGCAATTAACCCAGCCAAATCACTTTCACTAACTTTTCCACTCAGAAGATCCAAGATAAAACTGTAATAAAATTCTGGAGCCTGAGAAAGAGAAAATGAGCAACAGGCCAAATGTTAGCAGTGCAGTAATTATTCATCATGGATCGATCACAATAATGAACTCTAAGTAGGCTTATAATGTACAATAGGTATGTGGTTTTGTACAATACCATTTTTTAAAAGAAAAATTTTAGGATGAAGTGAAGAGGAAAGAGACTCTTACAAAATGGTAATCTAGAAAGTCTAAGAAGAAAGCCCAACACATTTATAAAGACTTAAGGCAAGAATTTTTGATACACATGGCATGTGGATGATTCATTCCTCTGAGAAGTTCTTCCAATTTGTGGATAAATTTTCTGCTGTCAACTGGCCAAATCAGTGTGGGCTAGATCCTTTAGATGGCACTGGGCCTAAAAAAAAATGTTGTTCATACTATTTATTCTGTGAGAGGATGAGGGTGGGTAGGTAATGAGCACATTATACCACTGTACATCAGCAAGAGGGGCTACCCTTTGAATAATTTCATTGATTTCCGCTGTCTGAATATTTTCTTGAGTACCAATTTTTAAAAAAGATAGCTGATCCATTTTTTCCCGAAAATATATACATATCTACATGTCATACATTTTGACTAAGAAGTGGATCCTTACCCGTTTTTTTGAGACATAGAATAGTGCAGAAAGTAAGTAACCCTTGAAACAAAACACATCCCAAGCTGCATCCCTACTAAGTCACTTATAGTTATAATTTATTTGAAAAACAAAATGAAAAGAAATACCTGGATACACTCTCTACCATGCGTACCAAAGTAGCAGAAGCTTGTCTGGCAAGGAGCAAAAATTTGCCCTCGATTTTAGAGTACATATAATAGATTTGGTTCTTTGGCCTCGACCTCGTTTTTCATTGGATGATGTATTGGTCTGGATCTTGCACCAAGCACAAAAGCATGATTCTCCTTTTCACAGTCCAGAGTATCATTTTCTTCAATGGAAAATAAAAGGAATTTTTGAGGATCTTTTGATTTTTTATAAATGGTGGCTCCGAGCCTGGATAAGACATTTTGATTTGAGAATGAAGACAATAGCAAAAAACTTTCTCATTTCTGTTAACACACATGCACTTACACTCATTTCTTTAGCTTTTGCAGATGTTGAAATCTCAAGACCAGAAATAGACTGGTTTGATTTAATGAGCGGAAGAATGGATCCGAAACAGGGGCTCAATCATGGATGAAATTTTGGCTGATGAAATTGACCATGACATCACAGTGGCAGATTTACAGTCAATGAAATGTTTTGACTACAGGTGGAGGGTTCCTTGCCTGTCCAGATAAAAGTGACATGCAGTTCTTTGATTAAATGCTATTAAACATGCTTTACAAAATATAATACCAGAAGAACCATGTTGATAGAACACTAAAGATCCACTCGGTAAACAGGCACAAATCTTACCCTTGATGACAATTTTTTCAAGAAAAGTAGTTGTTCACTGGTTAGACTTCTCAGGCATGCATACCTGAGAGAGAAAAAAACCCAACTCAAATTTACAATGGAATTGAAATCATGCTCTGATGCTACTGGAACACAGCCTATAATATAGGCCTACTTTGAGATTTCTCAAACATGAACATTTATAAAATTAATGAAAGGTAAAAATTACTTCAAAGTAAAAAAAATAATTAAGAACAATACTATGTACCATATGGAGTGCCAATTTACTAAAGGGATAGTGATTTTTTCAGTACGTGGAATACTTTTGCCCTTTTTTGTTTTTTTCCATCACAGCTTTTAATAAACACTTTTCATTTCTCCCCTACTTTTTCGAATAGCTTTTTTGAATGAAGACAAAGCCACTAGGTGCCATGTCATCTTACCATGCCTCATTTTTCAGTTTGCTTTCTTGTTTCATTAATATATTCCCCAAGAAATCACTGCCCTGAAAAGTGGCTCTGATTATTTAAACAAACTGTGACATACATCAGGGCATGAAGAGGATAGATAATAGACTGCATTTGTATTGCACAAATTCCAGCTCAACAGAATGCTCTATGCGCTTTACAATCTTTATTATTACCTGTACCTCAGCAGACCTGAAAACTTTCAGGAACAATCTCAGCTTCCTTGGAAGCATACAGTAATATATTATATATATTACATGGTTTCAATCCCAGCTCCATACAGGCAGGTAAAAATGTAGAGTACCATGAGTTTGCACAGATTGAAGCTGGTCTGCAAAGTTCTACAAACAAATGTGGTTAGAGAATGATTGAACAGCAAAGTATGACTTACTTTCCCAATTTGTTCTCCGTTATCCAGTCTACAACATTAAGCGTTGCTGAATCTGAAGCTGAAGACTGTGGTGGGCTTGAGACCAGAGCTGCACTTGCCTTTACTATGGCACCATCTGGATGGTCAACCTGTTTAAATTTTTAAGGACATGTGTGCAAAATAGTTGTGTGCAGAAATGATTGTAAAACGTTGAGCCTAGAATAACATTAACAAGCCTTACAATTATGAGCACATTACTCTGACAAAGCAAATCAGCAACTTAGTACAAGAAACCTGATTTAAAATTTGATATTTGAATACAGTATGACCTCTAGTACCACTAATAAAAACAATATTTTGAAAGAAAAAAAAATCTCATCTGGCAAAAAGGGCAAAAACACGACTACGATGTCTTAATTGTAAGATTATTTTGTTAAAATCCCAAAACCAGCCCGTAACAAAATTTGGTGTCAAATACGTTTGGTAATCAAGGTTAAAAAGCCCTGAAAATGTAACATGCTGAAAAGTCTTGCAAGTAAAGACCGCCATTTAAAAATGATTCTGACAAAACTGTGGTTGGTTGATATATTTTGTGAACAAGAAAAATCCTAACGTGGAGTTATCAAATGAAACTGCTGTTGTACACTGTATAGGCTACTCTGAAAAGAAAAGGCATGACATTTTTAATACTGTTTAAACTTTATATTTACAGTTGAAAAAAAAACCCATATTCATTAAATACAAGATTGAATATGCTGCCATTAAATTTCATGCTAAAATATTTTTTAGGAAAACTACTTTAAAACAATTGACATGTCTCAAAATGCGAAATTCAAAACTCATGAATATGATAGCGGTTTCAAATAGTCACTTACAGATGGAACTTCCAGCAACTTTCCTCTCTGTCCAATTTCTTTCACGAGGTCATTTATTTTCTCTTCAAACGGATATTTTCCTGGAAAAGGCAAAAATATTGCTTTAGATTGGGATGGTGTGAAAACAACTGCTTTGAATTTTGAGCAAGAATTTTCAAAAGCAAGGTTGTTTGAGAGATAGCAAGATTCATCACAAACTTTTATTCTGAGCTGACTTTGAATCTGAGGTCTCATCTCGTAAAGATTACAGCATTGCAATTTACAACATACTAATACAGTACCATATAACTGGAGGGGCATCAATAGTAACATTATAAAAAGTTTGGTAAAAAACAACATGCATACCTGAAAAATGGAAGAAAAGCTTTATTTATCCCAAGGAGCCAGAACATTTTTCACAATATGTTTTAATACTGGCTCCCAGTGAAAGAGTGTATCATATATAAAATCTGTTTAACTTGCTACAAGTGTTTAAATGATTTATCACCGGACTATCTAAAACAGCTTTTAACACCCTATGTGCCTCCTAGAACGCTCAGATCATCAAGTGACAAAACAACCCTTGTTAAGCCGAAAATAAATTACAAATCATATGGCCAACGCTCTTTTTCATATTTTGCCCCACTTGTTTGGAATAGGCTTCCAAAAACTATCAGAGAAGCAGAAAATCTAGAAATTTTAAAGAAGAAACTAAAATCATATCTATTTTCATCATATTTCGATTAGACAGAATGCATCCAAGCTGTAGATCGTTGTGAGTTTGTATGTGCGTATGTGCATATGTACGTATGTGTGTATGTGTGTATGTATGTGTGTGTGGTGCGTGCGTGAGTGAATATGTGTTTGCATGAGTATGTAACACTATGTACCTTTAAAATTGATTTGTAAATCCATAATATGTATCATGTTAAGCGCATAGAGCATTGCATAAGTGGATATGCCCTATTAAAATGCAATCCATTATTATTATTATTAGTCTCCGCCAAAGATTCCGGTGCTCCGGAGCAGGGAAAGTGCGAGATCTTAAGTGAACAGGATTGTAGCCGACGCACTAAGGGAAGAATCCACGGTCACGCATGGTCAGGCCCAAAATCGGTGAAATGATCCTCCCTTACTCTGAAATGAACTGATGTGACTCCCTGGAGTGGGTTTATGACTTAAGGCATGACTTAAGGCAAACAAAGAGTGTTCAACCTTGATGACCAATCACAATAGCATGAGGCATGCATTTATTATTAATTCAATCATGAGTCTTAAGATCTTCGCTGATCCTATTGGTCTGCCCTTTACCTGTACAAAACTTATAGCTTTCCATCTCTGACCGAGTTCCCCCCACCTCTGACGTAATGCACCGTTGTGTTGTGACCACCCCTTACCCACTCAGTGTACAATGAAAGGTTAGGAGGAAAGCTAAGATGCGAGAGCAAAGTTTGGGGAAAACAAACACATCATCGAGCTCACACCTTGGTGTGATACCGTCTGGGGCGAACATTGTAGCATTTCATTAAGATTTACAAAAGGGATGTAATCACATCCATGGGAGTGGCTGATCTGTGACGCAACGGACAGTTCAAGATTGCAATTTTCAGTTTGGTTGATCAGCTGCACTGGCTTGGGATTTAAAAAATATAAATTAGGAATTAAAATGCAGGATATTAGCCAAATGTAGCTCTTAGAAGTGGGACCTTAAGGGTGACTTTTGCGTAGTAAAAATTCTGTTTTCTTAACACACTGGGATCGTAAACGGTGGATTCTTAGGCGGAGACTACTGTACTTTAAAGCTCATACATTCTCAGAGACATGAGAATAAATTTGTTTGAATCATATTGGGACGGTGTAAAAGCAACTGGAATTTTAAAGAAAGCATTCCAAAGCTTACTTTATTTCAGAAATTTCATTTTTCTTCACTAACTTGGTTCCAATCTTTTTAGAATGGACTTTGAATCTAAGGTTTCATTTCTTAAACAAACATGCTGCACTGCCACTATGAACACAGAATACCACATACTGACGACACATCAACTGTGCAATACAAAAAGTTCAGTAATAAACTTCAACCAAACCTGAAAAATTGAAGAAAAGTTTCGTCCCAAGAAGGATACCTAACCATCCATCTGGTTTATACTCAAGCTGCATCAATAATGGGATGATTGGCTTTTGCAAAGAAAAAGCATATTCTGCCTCTGAAAGTAAAGAACGCAGAAAAGAAAATGTTCAGTTATGTACAACCGTAGCCGTCTCCTGGAATCTTTATCTTGTTAGTCAACATGCTCGTTAAGAAAGACTTGATAAATATTTAGAAATCAAATATTTGTTGAAAATCTTAAATAAAATGCTAGCTAGAGTCTACTTATTTCAATTTCTTTCTTAAGCAATCAACCTGGGGAAAAATCTTGATTTCTCTGTGGTCGTATGGAAAAGACTGATGGAATAAAAAGTGGGTCAAATAAATATTTTGGGACATGGTTTAGCCAATATCTCCATAAATAATATGAACAAACGAGAAAATATTCATGATCACTTTGTACTTCCAGCAATACAAATCTACAGGCCTGCAGTTATACTAGACTGAATTACCAGATCTGCAGTTTGGGCTTTCTTTATATTTCTCCGACATGCACACCAGAACAATTTCTGACTGCTCCACAGCTTCTGCCATGCCCTGAAGGGTGGAGCCGCTGAGGTTATCAATGTCCATCCACATGTTGTAACCTCGTGACTTCAAAGAGTCGCGAACCTGAGAGAATGAGAGAAAGGAAAGATCATTCAGGATTTACAATAGAAAAAAAAGATGTTAATTCAAAACTTGAATCACAAACTTTTCTTAATCTCCAACTGGCATTCTTTATCATTTTACAGATTGATTTTTGCTTTTCATGAGAAAAGGCAAGACAAACTTGAGCTTGAACTAATGTCTCATAGATCTGAGGAACATAAATGTATGAGGAAAAGAGTGATTGGGTCTATACATATGAAAAAAAGGTAAGAAAATAGATAGATATATATATATATATATATGTATATATATATATATATATATATATATATATATATATATATATACATAAAGCCAAAATACAACGCCAATTTAGTTGAAGGTCTACCATAATGTTTTTTGTTTAGTCGAAGGTCTTCTGCCGAACCAGTCCTCCAACTAGTTTGGATGAAGGTCTCTACCAGTTTATACATGTTTGGACTTTAGTTTACATTTTCCATTTGTGTTTAAACAAACTTGGAACTGTCATTAGCCATATTAAAAATGTTTTGATGGTTGTATTTTGTTAGGGGGATGGAGGGGTGTTCAGGTTTCAGGATGGGAAGGAGGGGAGGGGGGGGGGGGGGCTCTGATTTCTTGAAAATCCAGTTTAACCTGTCTATGACGGAATTGCAAGAGAGCCGGAAAACAATGCCTTCTTAGACATTTTCCATCTTAGACAGGAGAATTTAAGGAAAGAGGGAGGGAGTTCCAGAGGCCCAGCAACTGGGATCATGGGTCGCTAGTCCAGTCAGCAAGCAGAGGTCAAACCTAACATCTCTCAAGTGCTATCACAGCGTCTCTCACTCTGATAATGGCATGTGAGCGTCCCATTTACCCATAGCCATCATTGCTTGCATCTCATAGGACTACTATTTGATCTAATAATTAAAAACAGAACTGATTGAACATCTCCTTTGCTTCCACCCTTGCCCTATGCATCGGTGGATACGCACAGTCGACCAATGACATCCATCCCATGCATGTAACAATGCAATAGGTCAAATTAATTTCACACCTCTGGCCTCAAGCTATCCAGGAAAATTTAAAGGCTGGAGTACCACTCGAGCACTTTCACAAGCACTGGTGAAATTTCACATCCACACCACCCTGATCATCTGCACCACTAAGGGCTCACACCCTCACTCCCCTTTCTTGCCTGGTGGCAGGGCATAAAGGTTAGAGCCGATGGGAACAAACTTGATAGTTCTGTTTCAAATCAGGACTGAATAGGTACAGCATTTTCTGTCTTAGACAGGTAAAAAGCCTCAAAAGGGAAGGAATTTATATTTCCATTTCCGCATTAGGCAGGTGTCCGTTTCATAGAGGTAACTATAGAGGAATTTATTAAGAGGGGAGTAGGGAGATTCTGTTATGACAGGTTTGTCTGTAGTCCCAGCTGGTCACTTGAAGTCCAAACTTACTTGTCAATTACAATATCTTTCACACTGCAAAATTCTTTCATCTACATGACTCCACAAAATGAAGCAATTCATCCATCTATACACTGTGGATGTAAACGCCACCACTTTTGGCCTCAATGTCCCCAGCGTTGTTGTTAGCATGGCCAATCAGGCGGGACTTGCACTTCACAGTAAATTGTGGTCGATTGAGTGAAACTTACAGTAGAGTGCTGTAACACGATAGACCTTCAACTTTAAATCAGCACCCAAAATACTCTCCATTAATAGAAGCAAATGAAAAGGAAAGTTTTAATTTCATAAATCAAATGTAAATTTCAAGTGAGTGCTCTTTCAACACAAATACTTTTAGTTTAAGCGGTTATTTTCATCAATGACAAACATTAGCAGAAAAACTTTGCATTTCCCTTTACTTGAAAATTCATGCAGTATCAGTACATGTTTGTCCACAAAGCAACCGAAAAGTGATGTAAAAAAAGAAATAATAAAAAATTATTTACCTCAATGAGTTTCTTCTGATCTGACCAGTTGTAGCTTATCATAATATGCAGATTGCTCGATGTAGTACTTGAATCAGGTTGGGCCAACTTTTTCTTTTTATGCGGGGCTGAAAGTTGTATACACATTGATCATAGCTCCACGGATATTAGACATTGCTATTCCTTTGTGCAAAATATCAAAACTCCCTGGCATGTATGGAATTGAAGAACTTTATGTAAAGCAGCCATGTGCCCTATGATTTCTTTGGATTCACACAAAATAATTATATAGGAACATCAATGATGTCTGCGTTGTTGTTATTGATAAAAAATTCCCCCCATTGACCCAATGCCATGAACTGATACTTGAAGATTCTCTTGAATAATTATGTATGTATTTCCCAGAAAAGGATTTTCTGGGTCTGGCCTGAGATGGAGAAAGTTTCATCTTATGCCATTTAGTGTTAGGCGGAGGAAAGGTTTGATTATCCACTGTTTCATACCAGTGATATCACAACAGACATGCTGGCGAATACTGTGATTAAAGAGTGCCGGGGAGAGCGGGTGGATACAATGGAAAGATACACAAGGACCCTATTTAGATTAGAACATAAGTGAATTTATATGCAGTGTCTGCTGTGGACCATTTTGATGAAAATATAAAATATGGTACCTTTTCTATCACTACTCCGTGGAGTATTCTTATTGTAAATGATTTATTAAAAACCATGAATAGTCAATGAAGACATAAAGTCAGTGACTTTTAACATACTAATTTGGCAATATAGACATGTGAGAAAAAAGATGGCGACTGAACCTGATATTTGATTAAAGTCACAGAGGCTCCAAACAGTAAATCTGTAATTAGCAGACTGTCACCATACTAGATTTAAGCAAACTGATAAAGTCACAGGTTTGATGATTAGTGGAAATGTCACATCTGGACTTTGAAGTTGAAGTATGGAAAATTAGCTTGCGGTAGAGCATTCATAATGCTTTTGGTCATTTTGACAGAAAGAATTTTGCTTGTTTGGTCATTCTAAATAAAACAGATTTAAGAAAAGCCATTTATGAAAACTACACTTAACAGAGCTGAATATAAATCATATTACGTCAAAGATTCTTCGGGTCAATGGGGGGTCAGGCAAGGACATTACAAATCAATGAGAAGAGCCAAGTTAACTGAAGCAATTTCAAGTACAGTCCAAATTGTCCAAGACTGCCACCCATATTATACAAGACATTATTGATAAGAAAGAGTGTCAGATGAAAGCATGAGTTGTTTTGACCACTGATAAGAGTGAACATCAAAGTGACACAACATACCAAGCATAATACACGAAATAAATTTAAACAATAGCAACAATCAAAACCATGAAATAATTCCATGGGAAGGTTGCTATACACTCACTTTAGAATATATTAGCACCTTTGCTAACAGGAACTGCTATGAAATGAAGGTTCAGCATTTGAAAACATCTTCATTTGGTAACTGTGGTGTTTACCAATATCGAATGGAAATTACTCCTTACCTTCTATTTCTCTCTTTCCCATTTTTAGGACCCACAAGGTGCCTTGCAAAGCTCTTGTAATCTTTTTGTTTGATGATTTTCTGCTCAGAGTTTCAATGGCCTCCATAAGCTCTTTGTCATCCTAAAAACCCAATGAAGAATCAAATATTAGTTACACGCATTGGTTATTCTAAATTTTGTCTCGATAATTTTTTTCATGCTAAAAGGAAATGAAATCTTTTTTAATGCTTTGAACACTGAATGAGCAGTTTACATTGTAAGAAAATACTAAAATACTACAGAACATGATCAAGACTGTATTTCCCATTAAAATTAAGTTTAATAATGGAAATGTAAGATGCTCTGTTACTCTCATCATGAGCTTGAAATAATGATGCACCCTGTACATAATGTTGCACCCTGTACATAATGATGCACCCTGTACATAATGTTGCACCCTGTACATAATGATGCACCCTGTACATAATGTTGCACCCTGTACATAATGTTGCACCCTGTACATAATGATGCACCCTGTACATAATGTTGCACCCTGTACATAATGATGCACCCTGTACATAATGATGCACCCTGTACATAATGATGCACCCTGTACATAATGATGCACCCTGTACATAATGATGCACCCTGTACATAATGATGCACATCGTAACTGAGGAGAGCACAACAAAGGAAAAAAGGACATATCCAAGATGGAACTGACAAAGCTAAAGTGACAAGGATATTAATGCAATATGCTTCACCTGACAGTCCACAGGCAAGTAGGCTACATAGATCTAAACTCCAAATATCATCTTGTTCAGACCAAGTTAGCCTTTAATAATATATTGCAGTACGGTATCTTAATCTGCAGTATGGGCTGCATGTGCTTGGGACATATTTATGTTGGCATACTTGCATTGCATCAATGAAGGTACCTTCACACCATAAACAACAGGTGAGGAATACTTTATGTTGATCATTTTTTGGATGAATAAAGAGAAGCCATGACCAAGAAATCAAATTTCCAACGTTGAAATAATAAATCTAAATACTTGCTTCTCACATAGTTGAGTGATCTCATGTGGAGCTGTACAGAACATAACCCAAACCTTCTCTGGGAGTAGGGTATATTTTACTTAGAATGAATATGGTCAAATACCTCTTGGATGCCAATGACAGCCAGGATGTTTTTTTTATCAACTTTCACATACACCTTGTTTTTCAAGCCAGCCATCCAGGCATGATTCAGTGAGATTGGACTCACACTCATATTATTCTAAGCAACTAGTTAAACATACATGCAGTTGAGCCAACACTATAAACACTGGAGTGCTATTTATATAGTGCTGACTGTTCGATTTTAAAGAAAAAATATAGTTGATATAAGTCAGAGAGGTGTGAGTGTTCCGAAGTTCAAGACAGGACTCAATATCAAAATAATATTGACCAATTACAGGTACCCCTAGGAACTAATTAAATACAGGATCCCTACTCCGCACAAAGTAAACTTTCAAATCGTTTAAAAACATAACACATAGCAATGGTGAACAGAACTTGCAGTTGTAATTTAATCTAATTCACTGTGAGTTTCCAAACCAGATGGCTTTATTTTTATTGATAAGGGCATGAAATGAGTTAACCATTCTCTCCTTCCAGGGAACAGTTTTCAGACAGCTTCTTCACATTTTTAAGAGTATGAGCACTAACAATGTAAGAAGTTATTTTAACTGATTTCAAGTGTCATGTTTGAAAAAAAAACTGAGTACATAATCATGGTGACAGTATGCATTTCCATGAACTAAGGTATTCTATAAATTTTGAGCAAATCTGAAGAAGAGTACAACTATCTGAACCGAAATGATGAGACATTCCCAACCATTCAGATTCAATGCAGGTAGTTGAAGAGGGCAATGAGTCATAGGTACTACATATACACTCATCTGTCACTCTTGTCTCTAGTTTTGTCGATAACCAGCACTTCAAAAGGCCCCTCTTTTGTCAATACTGCTAAAAATTAATAAGCCCTTTGAAACGGAATAAACAAAACCACCTAGACCAACAAGCTGAAAAAAAAAGAATTAGTTTCAAAACAGTCTCACCTTTATTTTGCTCTTGTTCTCCTCATCAAATGACAATTGCCACAACAGATTGGCACCTGCCTCAATCTCCTTTTCATCACCCGTTGTTAAGATGGTCAAAACCAAGCTCAACACACCTTTGTTAACAAGTAGTTTTTTTATTTCATCATTTCTGCTGAATCCGCTCAAGCCTTGAATCAATTCTTCTGCCCTAAAGACACAAGAAAAGAGTAATTTCATTTATAAAAATCACAATAACAAAAAGAAGGGAAAAAAAATTAGTATTAGTGAATGCCGTAATATTTACGTAATACAAAATGATCTTATACCACTATTCCTATCAAATGTTATTAAGAATTAGCAAGGTCTACACTGGACTTTCTCAGCCTGTATTTGACTACTGGTGTGGATTTGTAAGCTCACTAATGAAGATGAAGGGCAGGAGTGGGGGGTGGGAAGAGGAGATGAAAGCTGGTGACAGAGCAGAAGAAGAGAACCAGAAATGAGGAGAAAGGGGAACATTTTAGACAAGAAAATTTTTGCCGTTGTCTGGTTTCGAACCCGGGACCTATTTAATGAGAGGCGAACACCATACCTCTAGACAATGAGATCCCTCACTCTTATTAAATTAATGTTTGGAAAAATTTTAAGATAACTTTTTCCCTTCAACCATCCCTCTTTGCCATGAAAAATTGCTTAAGACACAAGGATCATTTTAAGTAATGCAATGAAGAAAAAAAATCCACTTAATTGTCGTATTTTACTCACGAAAATCCATCATATCGATGTTCTGATAGTTTCCACGCTCGCACCGTCAACATTATCACCAGGTCAAGAACAGCATCATGTGATATGAGTAGATGATTCTGATCCTCATCAATGATGAGTGACAAGGTCAATAGCACTAGCATTGTCACCTCTGGAGAAAAAGAAAAAAAAATGGAGATATATATATATATATATATATAATATATGAAAAAAAATTGAGACTCACAAAGATAGGTAAGAATCTGTTAATTCACAAAACAGTAGACTGAAATAGTAAGACATCTTGTCCTTAGGGTGATGCTTTGCACCATTGAATTGGAACAATAATGATCACAAAATGCAACTGGAAACATTTTCTAAACTAAAGTTGCCATAAATCAAAAGCTTTTAAATTATATTATATATCTTTCTTCCAACAGGGAGAAACATACTCTTTCTCAGTCCCTAAAAATCTCATGCATGCATATTGGACGAGTACAGACATACTAAAGATTATCTTATTCATGACAGACTCAGTGTGACTGCGATACAGTTCAAAAGCTCTCAGAAATACTGGATAAAATGCACTGCAATTGTGACACAAATGAATGTCAAAAGGCAAAATTGTTTGGCCACACTCGACACATATAAAAGACATCAAAAGTGGAGGGCAGACTACAAAGGAGAAAGAAAACAAAATAGAGATGGTACACCAAAGTAAAATTTAATCTAATTGTATTTATGCACATAACATCTGTCCGTTATTTTTCAAATAGAAGAATTGTTTGCAGCTGGAAAGCAATGGGATTAGTAGTATAGTAGAGGATTTTATGGCGCTCGCAACTGCATAAGGTCATATGAGCGCCAAGGGGTGGGTGTCAACAGAGAAGTCCTTACAGGGAATCAGACTTAGACTGCTCACCTCTCTTGCTTCAACAGCACAAGGTCTGCTTCGACTATCAAGGCACCCCGGAAATAGCAGGTCCCAAGAGAGTGACAAACATACAAAAGAAGTAGAGGAAAATGACAATAGTAAGGATCAGGAAAGAAAAAGCAGCACTTCCCTGTTGTAGATCAGGCACAGTTATGAGCGTGACATGATGAATCAGCCCATTTACAATTCTACTATGCTTGAACGAGAAATGTCCCCCCTTTGGGAATGGCTAGAGACACTTCAGTCAGTGGCACTGTCCCGGGGGGTTGGGTGGGGGGGAAGCAATGGGATTGTCAGGAGACTATCCTCCAGTGTTACTTTTGTAAAGACATCCATTTGTGGATTGTCCAAGAAGATACATAGTCAAAATCATAAAGCAGCTTATAGTTGCTGCTTTAATGAAACAGCGTTCCTCACTTGTCTCCTCTTTATAGTCCAGGAAATGTCCTAAAACGGTAACCACTTCTAGGTCTCTGAACATCTGTCTCAAGTCTGGAAGTTTTGCCATGTTGTGCAAAGTCCCAATTGCTGTCTCAAAAGTCAATGAGTGCCTCTGTAGAGAGAATAGGGACACAATTACGTAGCATTTTCTCCAAAAAAATAGTTCTGCTTAATTGAAGATCAAGATCCTCCACCCAGAAAGGGCTATTAACTTGTAGTGTAGAATGTAATTGGACAACTATTAATCTGTATTTTAGATACAAAAGAATTGGCCAGAAGTAAATTAATTAATGTCAATATGCAATAATAATACCATTTTTTCTCACAATGTCTTGAAAGTGCATTTTTCCATTTAATATGGGTAATGAATGAAGGCCAAAGATGGCAAAATGAGAAAAACAATGTCATCTTCACAGAGCAGAAAAAAAGGAGTGGAGTGATATGGGTTTTTTTCTTTCATTTATACATTAGATTGAGCTATGGCATGCACTAGAATGTTTTAAAATCTAAATTTCAAATCCTACCATCCTCCCCCCTCCCCCCAAAATAAGAAAAAAAAATGAAAAAGAAAAGCTAAAGAACAAAAAAGGTATAGCCTCAACAAAATTGATTTAGAAAAATCGATTAAAAAATCGATAATAAAAACAAATTGATTAAAAAAAAAACCTTAACAAAATCACTCTGATATATATATATTATATATATATATATATATATATATGTCCATCATCATCCATGTTATAGGTATAAACTGATTAGTAGTATTATCAAATTCTGTTTATTGCTAAATACAAAAAAATGAGTGAAATAGCGAGAACATACACTTGCATTTCAGCAAACAAATATATAGAATATTCTCCAAATGGAACAGGAAAAACTTTTGCTGTTTATTGATCACATCAAACAGCTATTATATTGTACAGGACGTGTGGTGAAAGTGAAAACTCATTAAAAAAACTATCCACTTTGAAATGGTCTGTTATCTTCTCCATCCTGAGGGTAAGTAGATTCTATTCTACTCACAAGACTTGAGCGCTCATTTGGCTTATCGGGCACTGTGCTTTCATGTTTAAGTCATATTTACTAGAAAGAGTTCAGTCAGTGCAAATTAAAAATAGCTTTTCAAAGCAGGTCAGGCTCGATTATGGAGTTCCACAGGGGTCCGTTCTTGGACCAGTGCTCTTTACACTATATACACAGCCCTTAGCAAGCATTTTACAAAATCATGGATTGAATTATCATTTTTATGC